AATTTCCGCAAAGCAGGTGAGTGTAAAATACCCTGTTGTAATAAACATTCCCCAAATTAGTGAGGTTTAATTATCTTTTTGTAAGTTTATTGGCCATTTCAGTTTATTTTATGTAATCACATGTCCATTTTCTTTGCCTAGTTTTCAATTGGATTTTTGATATGTAATTCTTATATTGTAAGTATATATTCTTTGTTATGTGTCCATTGAAATTTCTTTCCCCAGTCTATTACTTGTCTTTTAACCTTATTTATAACATAGCTTATTCTTCTCACTGAGCCACTCTACTAAAGGTGACTCTGTCTCAAAAAAAAAAAAAAAAAAATATATATATATATATATATAGCTTATTCTCCAAATCATAGGACTTGAACTTGAGGTGAAGCAGATGTTAAAGAACTGCATCCAGTATTTTTTGAAATTTGTTAATCTATGCCTTTCCATCCTCTTAAGACACACAGAAGTGACTGAAGGAATAGTTACGCATAAACCATGTTTAATTATCTGTTCAACTGAAGAATGTAGGTGTGACAAGGGCAGCAATACTGTGTAGAGTTCAATAGCTTGGATTCTTTAATTTAAACTGTGGGGTGACACACACAATTGGGTTTTGTCTTCTTTGTAGGGTTATTGTAACGATTAGGAGAATTTTTGCATATACCTGACATGTAAGTGCTCCACAAATATTAGCTGTTCTTATCATTGACAGAAACTTCGTCTGGAATTTAGTTTTATGGAGTTCTAGTGTAGATTGCTTTGCATTTTTTGCCAGATTTCGCTTTCATCAACAAAAACACTGAAGTTCTGCCAAGCAGGTCAGCCATTTTGTAAGTTGTTGGGAAAATAAACAAGGCTAAAGTGAAATGGTGGCTCTCAGGCGGAGAACCCAGTCTCAGTCCTTTTAAGTGGAATGTTGCTGGGCTGCCCCCTTGTGGTTATTTGGGAAATGGCCGTTAAAAATTGAAAAAACGGAACAATAGGTATTAACGGTGCTTGTTTTCAAAGTCCAGTAGTGAGAAATATTTAATCATTCTATTTTTACCTACTTCAGAAAGGATTTTGAAAGGACAGCAAATCCTTTTTATCCACAAGTGAAAGGAAGTATTAAACTCTTATAAGTATTCCTTTTTTAAAAAAATTTTTACATATACATGTGTTTACTAGGTTTCCACTTTTTGCCTTCACAAAATCAAAAAGGCTTAAAATTTAACAATAACATAAGTATTCTTTTTGGAATCTAAAATCCTCGTTTTGACTTGCGTTCCTTTTCTTTATTTTATATTGTATTTCCCTAGTAATTATTTGTTAAATCAATTATAAAACTTTTTTGCAACTTGGATTTTGAGTAATTTTTTGAGATAAACTTGTTTTTCTATGAGGAAACTATACATAATTGATAATCATTTCTGAAACTTACATAATCACCTGATAGTTATTAACCCCTTAGAAATCAGGTAATTTTATTACTTTATTATTTAGGTGAAAGTTTAAAGGACTCCTCACTCAGTTTTGTGAGCTTTCTATATCCTCTACTACTATAAACCAGCACGAAAGCTATAGTTCAGAATTGTGGCTTTTGGTGTTATACATGTAATTTATTTTTTTTTCTTGTGAGAGTCTCACTGTGTTGCCCCAGGCTAGAGTGCCATGGCTTCAGGCTACCTCACAGCAACCTCAAGCTCCTGTGTTCAAGTGATCCTCCTGCTTGAACAGCTTTCTGAGTAGCTGGGACTATAGGCTCCCATCATGATTCTACCTCATTTTTCTATTTATAGTAGAGAGGAGGGTCTTGTTCTTGCTCAGGCTGATCTTGAACTCTTGAGCTCAAGGGATCCTCCCAGTTTGGCCTCCCAGAGTGATAGGGTTATGAGTGTGAGCCACTGCTCCTGGCCTCAATTAATTAGTTACTAATAGCAAATTGACATCTCTTAGGAATTGTCCTATCCCTTGAGGGAATAATTAGATTGTTTGTTAATGCCCTAAATGTGGAGGTATTTTCTTTTTCTTTTCTTTTTTTTTTTTTGAGACAGTCTTACTGTGTTGTCCTTGGTAGAGTGCTATGGCGTCACAGCTCACAGCAACCGCAAACTCTTGGGCTTAAGCAATTCAGTTGCCTCAGTCTCCAAAGTAGCTGGGACTACAGGAGCTCATCACAATGCCTGGCTGTTTTTTTTTTTTTTTGGTTGTAGTTGTCACTGTTGCTCAGCAGGCCCAGGCCAGGTTTGAACCTGCCCACCCTAGGTGTATGTATGTGGCCGGTGCCCTGCAGACTGAGTATCTGCTTTTGTTAGTGTTTGTGTATTTAATGTGTAAACCGAAACAACTCTTACTCTTGTAATGTGCAGCAGAGGAAAAAAAGGTTAGTCGCCCCTGGCCTAGAGGTAAAAACAAGTGTGAATTTGTTTTTTTATCTTTTCTTGGATTTGGTTTTCATAGTTACTTTTTTTAAAATGATGCAACCTGTGGAATTGACAAGTATACTACAGACAACTCATCCTACAGAATAAACCACTGCTGGTAGTTTGGTGATTAAAATGCATTTACACATACATGTGCTGATAGATATGACCATATTTTTTACTTAGCAGGTATTATTGTATACCTCATTAAATATCTAGGGATTTCTTTCCTACCCATATAAACATAGCTGCACAAAAAAGTATGTACAGGTTAGGCATGGTGGCTCACACTTGTAACTCCAGCACTTTGGAAGGCAGAAGTAGGAGGATAGATTGAGGCCAGGAGACTAGCCTGGGCTCATAGTGAGACCCCATTCTACCAAAAAAAAAAAAAAAAAAAAAAAAGAACAACCTAAAAAATTAGCCAGGCATGTGTAGTGGCACCTTTTAGCCCCAGCTATTCAGGAGACTGAGGTGGCAGGGTCACTTGAGCCCAGGAATTTTAGGTTTCTGCTGAGCTATAATCATGCCACTGCACTCCAGCCTTGTTGACACAGTGAGCATTAGCTAGGAAGAGCTTTGTGTTAGAAGGTAAATCTGAGTTTGGATGCGACATTCTCAGATATTTACTGTTTGGATAAAGCTTTGGCATCTATAGCGTGCAGCTTTCATAGCTGTCATTTGGTGCTCTGAGGACCCTACAGTAGATGTCACAAAAAAATGGCACAGGTCGGAGGTGGTCTAGGAGTGAAACCCAAGCCTTGGATGCCAGAGCCTGTCCTTTTGAAGTGTTATTATGCAGCCTTTCTTCTTTTCTATTGCCTGGTAACTACCTTTTATTTGGTCACAGGTGTAGAGTGACTCAGATGCTCAGCTGGACTAGTCATCTTGGACTAAGCAAAGGTGTGAGTCAGTAACGATAAGGAGGCTCTGAATGTGTTGAGTCACTTGTTATGGGGATGCCTGCCTGTTTGTTTGGGAACAGTGGACTGTGTATGAGAGGATTAAGGTTTTGACCTGTGGTAAAACAGAGGTAATATGATTAGGCTTTAGAAAAGCCAGGTATGGATTGGGATCCCTGCCTTCCCCTTCTTCCCTGACCCTTTCGCTTTTTAGTTTTATCACTGGCCATGTTTGCTATAACTTCTTGGTTTTTTTCATCCTCCATATGGGGATAGTAATACCTAATATGGTTCTTATGGGGAATAAGCAAAATGTATGTATAAAGTACATCATAATGCCTGATACTATAAGGTGATCAGGTAATCACATTTTTTTTGTCTTTGTCCCCCTCCTAAGGTAGAGACACCTCCCCCCTCCCACTTTTTCTCCCTGCTTTCTTAGGGATCGCATGATACTTGGGTCACTCCCAGTTTCCAGTGTATTTCCCTGTTCATTTTGCAGACACTTGTCATGCGATACAACCTCAGTTCTAGTTTGGAAGATAAGGTGATGGTAAATATGAACCCTCCCTCCCTTTTCAGGCTTCATACTGCATCTTTGATCTCCTCCTTGTTGAACTCTAGGGCCTTTTTGTTAAGGTAATGTTACTGTAGACTCTGGAGGTTCTAGGTTGCTCCTTGCTTCTTTCTTCTGTCCCCCTGTCCCATCCTCACAGTGAAAAGATAGTTTTCAAGCAAAAGAGTTAAATGAGATGTTTCCTGGTTTTGCTGTGGAGTCCAACAACTTCTGGTCTTTTTGCTTTAAAGTATCATCCCTCCTACCAGCATGCCCCTCAGTTGCTTTTCCACTATTGGGAAGGTAGGGTATATTGCCTTCTCTGGTTGATGTCTGTCATCCCTCAGTCTTCATAGTTTGTTTCGTGTTTTCAGTTGTTGCCTATCTCTTAGATTGCTCTTCCCTGAGGGATGACTGGAGTGGCAGGGGTGTGTGTGTGGAGGTCAAGAGCAGTGTTTATTTGATTAGGTGTTCCCATGAGAATTAGAGTAGTGCCCTTTCTATTCCTGTTTTCTGTTAAATCTTCCATGTCTGGAATTTACCCAAGGGATTCCAAAGCAGGACTTCTGGATTATGGTTAATGTGTATATATTTTTATAACACTCCCCAGATGAGTGTAATTTGTACCTATTAGAACCACTGATTGAATAATTGCAACCAGATTGTAATTCTTCCAGTTTGGGTAACATGGTTTGGTTTTTGTCTTGTGTTTTGTTTCAGGTTTTTCTGGGGGGAGTGACACTAAACCAGTAAGTTAGTGGATTCCGATCTACTTAGTTTCAAGTGTTACTGTGTCAGCTAGTTAAATACTTTTGAGCTTCAGTTTTACCTTGTCTGAATCAAGGAGACAATAATATCCACCCTCAGAGTTTTTGTAACAAAGAGCTAATCTATGTAAATAAACTGGTATTTGGCATCATATAAATAAACACTCAGAAAATGGTAGCTGTTGGGAGTGTTAGGCGTGGTACTAAATAGTGTTACTTGCAGCATAAGAATGTAACAGTGAATTTGGAGTTTTTGGGCTTGTGTTAACAAAATTACTATTGGCTGACAAATTACCATGAGGATTTCTTTTCAAAGCAGATTCATGTAGTAGTTCTTAAATGTTGTAAAATCTGTCTTTCTCTCTTAAAATTTAAGTCATTCAGCCTCTGAAGAAGCTTCAGGTTCAGACTCAGGCAGTCCGTCGGAAAGTGAGCAGGGCAGTGACCCAGGAAGTGGCCATGGCAGCGAATCGAATAGCAGTTCTGAGTCTTCTGAGAGTCAGTCGGAATCTGAGAGTGAATCAGCAGGTTCCAAATCTCAGCCAGTCCTTCCAGAAGCCAAAGAGAAGCCAGCCTCTAAGAAGGAACGGATAGCTGATGTAAAGAAGGTATCTACTTTGCTGTACAATACAAATGGCTGCTAGCTGGGATCAGCTAGCAGACCTTTATTACCTATGGAAACTCATTAGTATACCTGGATAATGAAAACTATAGCCACTTTTTCTAATAATAACAGTACTGTCTATGGATCCATATGGGGACTGCTTTAGATTTGATGTTAATGGGGCTATAAAGAAGAAATAGGGCAAAAAGACAAATTTTATAGTTTTGGTTGTTAACTTTTTTTTTTTTTCTGAGACAGAGTCTCACTTTGTTGCCCTTGGTGTGCCCTGGCATCACAACTCACAGCAACCTTCAGCTCTTGGGCTTAAGCGTTTCTCTTGCCTTAGCCTCCCGAGTAGCTGGGACTACAGGTGCCTGCCGTAACACCTGATTATGTTTTTATTGCAGTTTGGCTGGGGCTGGGTTCGAACCCGCCACCCTCGGTATATGGGGCCAGCGCCCTACTCACTGGGCCATAGGCGCTGTCAAGGTTGTTAACTTTTGAAAAAGCATTAAAGTTATTTTTTCATAGTCTGTTGACTGATGCTAGAGAAAAACAATTGGCAGATAATAGCAATGGTTCTTTTAATGTGGAATATAGTTGTAAATCTTATTGATAGATAATCTAAGGATAAAGAATTTTTGTAATCTGAATAGTGGAAATGAAATACTTCTACAGAAAAACATATATGTATGCAGGCAATGTAGGCGTTTTTTGCTTTATATTCTTTCTTTGTGACAGAGTCTCACTTTGTTTCCCTGCATAGAATGCTGTGGTGTCATAGCTCACAGCAACCTCAAACTCTTGCCTCAGCTTCCTAAGTAGCTGGAACTATAGGTGCCCACCACAGTGCCTGGCTATTTTTAAAGACAAGGTCTTGCTCTGGCTTAGGGTGGTCTTGAACATGTGAGCTTAGGCAGTCCATCTCAGTGTGCTAGGATTACAATCCACCATGCCTAGCCGCAATGTAGGTATTCTTTGCTTAACAAAAAATCTAGCAAAACATGTATGTAAAAAGATAAAAACTGAGTTAACATTTTCTCATTCATGCTCAAACTTGATAGTGCATTCCTTTTGGTGGAATAAATTAATTATTTGATCTAATACAATGTTTTTCAACCTTTTTTATCTCATGGCACACTTTAACCTGTAGTTAAACTGCCGTAGCAAACTTAAATTACAATGACAAAAAAAAAAATTATAAAAAAGAATATACTTATTCCACTTTGAACTTCTTTCAAAAATAATTTAATTAATGATCTTTCAAAATTTTCAAGGTATACCTAAGATGCTCTCATAGCACACCAGATGAAAATCATTGGTCTAATAAATCATTAGAATGCAGCTGATCTTTAAAATTTTATTTTAAGAGAATTATGTTGGACTTACTAAAAATATAAATGAAAATTATGTTTAAACATTTAAAAATAAAATATGTTAATGAAATAAAATGCTTTATGCAAAATTGTTTTTTATTTAAGGCATATTCTGTTTTTTTTTTTTTTTTTTT